TGTATTCGGAGACCCTAGAGGATCATCTTGAGCATGTTCGGGAGGTGTTGAAGCGCATAAGTTCGGCACAGCTGACCATTAACCCAGAGAAGGTGCACGTGTGCTGTCAATACCTGAATATCCTTGGCCATGAAATATCGCCCGGGCAGTGTAGGCCGGACAAGGAAAAAGTGCGAGCGGTGCTGGACTATCCTCAACCAACAACACTCAAACAGCTGCAGGCCTTCCTGGGACTAGCAGGCTATTACAGAGGGTTCATACCTCAGTTTTCTATCACTGCACGTCCACTCACAGAACTCCTGAAGAAAAACCAACGTTGGCGGTGGGAGCTGCAGCAAGAGGAAGCCTTTAGAGCACTTAAGCAGTCCCTGGCCGACGATGTTGTTGTAAACTTGCCGGACCTCAACAGACCATTCGGGGTGGAAAGAGACGCCAGTGGACTCGGCATTGCAGCGGTGCTTCTGCAGGCAGCTGAGAGTGATGCTCAACTGCGTCCAATAAGCTTCATTAGCAGGGTCCTCACTGAGGCAGAGCAGCGCTATACAGTGCAAGAATGGGAGTGTCTGGCTGTGGTGTGGGCAGTGGACAAGTTCCGACCATACCTTGAGTTCACCGAGTTTGAAATACACTGTGATCACTCCTCACTGTCCTGGATGTTCACCACAGACCAGGCCTCACCACGTGTAAAGTGTTGGGTTTTGCGGCTGCAAGGTTTCAACTGCAGGATCAAGCACAGGCGGGGTCTTGCAAATGTACCAGCCGACACCTTGAGCAGAGCTCCCCTTCAGCACCAGGAAGTTCCAAGCCCGAGTCTACACGAGATGCTGTTCTCTATGGCTTTTCCAGAGCCCAGCCCACAAATCAGCTTTGAGGCAGCTGCTGTAGCATCTGAAGTGGACGACACTACTGTCTTGAATGATGCAGGGCTCCTCGCCCAGGAACAAGAGCAGGACTCCATACTGTCAAAACTACGAACTGTGATGAAGGGAGGGAAGCTTCCGCCCACTGACAGTGATCAACCTTTGATCAAAGACCTGGCGGAGACGACCGAGATGGAAGAGAGTGGGTTGCTTGTACAGCACTGAGGGAACAGGAAAGTACCTTGGCTACCAAATCATCTCTGCAACTTGGTCCTGCGACTGTCCCATGACCACCCGATTAACGGCCACTCCGGCTTTTTTAAGACCCTCAAACGCATTTCTCAGAATTTCGTGTGGCTGGGTATGCGCTCGGACATATCCAAGTATGTGCGATGCTGCCAGGTTTGTCAGCACACTAAAGCCCACCGGCAGAAGCCAGAAGGGCTGATGAGCAGTCAGTGGGCCACTGCCCCCATGGAACAGCTCAGCGTGGACATAATTGGGCCCTTGCTTATGACACCTCGACGCCACAAGTACCTTCTCGTAGTGATTGACAAGTTCACCAAGTTCATTGAACTTTTCCTATTACGGGCAGCAAACAGCAAGAGTGTGGTGGCCTGCATGATCCAGGTTTTTTGCAGACATGGCACACCTGTCTCCATTTCAAGTGATAATGGAAAGCCGTTTGTAAGCAGGTTGTGGAAGGGCCTCCTTAAGCATTGGGACATACAAGACCGACACACTGTTCCGTACCGCCCTGCCGGGCAAATGGTGGAGCGCCACAATGGCATTATCAAGCAGTGCCTTAGGGCTTATTGTTCCAACCACAAAGGCTGGGACCAGCACATCCCTGAAATTGCCCTGGCCATGCGCACGGCTGAAAGTGTTGTCACGGGCTACACGCCTGCCTTCCTCTGTTATGGCCGGGAGCTGAGAACCCCATGGACACAGGCTGAGGCCAAAGACGACGCGGAGCCTCCTGCGACAGCTCTACCGTGCATTTGCTACTGAGGTCTCCAAGTGTCTGCAGGAGGTGCTTGACTTCTCCAGGACACACCAAAACCACATGTGGCGCGCCCAGAAGACTCGCTACAACCAGCACAGGCGGCCACTGACAATACAGGAGGGTGATCTTGTTCTGCTCGAAAGCCACTCCCTCAGCGATGCCACCAAGGGCTTCTCCTCGAAGCTTGCACCCCGGCGTTCCGGTCCTTTACGGGCAGAGAGACGTGTAGGACAGAATGACTTTGTTCTAGTGGACCCCAAAACGGGTCGTCACCACAGTGTGAGACACGCAGTTCAGCTGACACTCTACCATAACGCTGCAGGGGATGTGTAGTGGTGGCTTCACATTTTGAGGGGGGGAGACCTCTGAGGGTGGCCGAGAGAGGGCGTTACGTGACGGGGAGACCTGTGAGGGTGGCCGAGAGAAGGCGTTACGTGACGGCGTCATCATCATCCGGGACTTGGCCGAGAGAGGGCACTACGTGACGGCGTCATTATCATTTGACGGCGTCATTATCATTTTATCAATGACGGCGTCATTATCATTATCATTACCAATTGGAGGGGGGGGGGGTAGATGCTTGTGCACGCGCACTTATCCTTCTGTAAGGAGAATAGCACGTCTTCGACTTTGACTGGAACGATTTCGTTTACCATAATTACTCGAATCTAATGTGTACCTTTTTTACGGTTAAGCGAGTTCATAAATCGCATGCGCGTTATAATCGAGTACGAAAAAAAATGAATGCGGTCATTCTATTGCCATCGGCATTTTCAAAATGGCCGCCCCCTAAGTGCGTCGGCATGGCGCGTTGGCCATTTCTGCCTATGTGTTTCCCATGTGCGGCACTTCGTACGTGTGCTGAGGAGTTCGTCATCTTGTAGTGCATTTGCATCGACGGCATGGAAGGGCCGACTCCAAAAGCTCGAGTGCACCACGATGCCGCTTTTAAAAGAAAAGTCATCGCGCGTGCAGAAACGGACGGAAATCGGGCCGCATCGCGGTCGTTCGGAGTTCCCGAAACGTGCGTGCGGGACTGGCGGAAACAAAAGCAGAAGATTGTCGACAGCAAAGCTTCACGCAAAGGCTTCAGTGGACCACAGCAGGGTCGGTTTTCGCAAATCGCTGCTCGGCGAGTATGTGCTTGAGTAGCGAGAGGCACAGTGGCCCACTTTGACAAAACTGCTCCAAGTGCGGGCTATGCAGTTAGCCTTAGAAAAAAGGCTAATGCGGAGCCAGTTTAAACCGAGCAGGTGCTGGCTAACTAACTTTATGAAGAGGAAAGGCTTTTCCCTCCGAAGGTGAACGGGCATATGCAAAAAGTTTTGCGGAGGAGTACGGTGAAAAGCTTCACAGTTTTCAGAGGTTCGTCCTAAACTTGTGGCACAACGGCTACGTGCTCGGGCAAATCGGGAATGCCGATCAGATGCCTCTTTACTTCGACATGCCTGGCACCACAACCGTTGAGAAAAAGGGGCGAAGCAAGTTCCCGTGCTGACATTGGTCCACGGTAAAACTACAGTGACGGCAATGCTCTGTTACATGTCAGATGGGCACACGCTTGCCCCGTACCTTTTATTTAAATGGAAGACGCTCCCAAAAAGAGTTAATTTTTCGAGTGGTGTGATCGTGCAGGCCAGCGAGAAAAGTGGGTGCGCGTTGCAATCGATGTCTTAACGTTTTTTTTTTTTTCATCGTGGAAATCGGCTGCGTGTTACAATCGAGCGCACGGTAGAATTGAGTAAATACGGTAGTTGCCGGGCGCACAAAGACCACTTCGCTCGCTCAGCAGGCTCCGTATGCAAAAAGAGTGCACTTTTCAAACACAAGGAAGTAATAACTAGGGAAACGTTGTTGGTTCACTCTCGTCCTGTGTATATGTTGTTTTGTGGTGTCATTTGTGCGTGAGCAGTGCGCTGCATGTTTCGATCTGCTTGCCTCATTTCTTCGCCCTTGCAGCGCGACTGTGACTTTTAAGAATTTCGGACAACAGTGTCGTCAACCCCAAGGGGATGTCGGATTGGGCTTTGATGGAAACTTTCCGCGACCACGGTAACGACAGATCTTCTGAGGTCGACTCGTCACGCACTTCCGTCTTGCGCCGCGAGTTAGCAGGCTGGTAGATTTCGCAATTAGTCAATTCTGCCAACACGACGGCGCGTCGAATGCAATGTAATGAACGCAATAGCAAGAAATAGTAATGTTAAAAAGAAGTAAGGCTGGCAGCCAACTGTTTGGGATCCGATATCGCGGAACTTCCACAAAACGCTCGTGTGAGCAAATACGGCCGCTCCAGGGAAAAGTGCTTTTTCCACACAGTCCCTTCGCGTTAAAACCGCACTGATACTTGCCGAGATAGCAAGGGCGCCACCGATCGCGACCGCCTTTAAAATACAAGTTTATTATTGCTACTCAAGCGATCTCCCCCTCCCCCCCCCCTCCCAGCGTTGTTTCCTGCTTGTTCAAGACAGGTGGTTTACTTTCTGTGTGAGCATTCGACGGTGTTTAACATGTGGGAGATGTTATCTTATGCACTTTGCAGACGATAGGGATGGGCCAAATCATTTGATCTCTGCTTCAGCAGCTCTCGCGCGCTTTTACCCCCTCGTCGAAGTTACGATGTGCCGGGGCATGTTATCTATTTGTACTCAATACGGAACATGGCGGCAATGGCAAAAACCCTTCGAGAGTGTCCATATAATTGCTATCGCAATAATAACAGTTTTTTACTGTAAAATAAGTGTTTTGGGTTAGCTCTGCCTTCAGTACCCGTTTTGATTAACTTGGTCATTTATTTGTTGAATTTTCATATCAAACCTGCATATAACGAAATCTTCTTTATAAAGAATTTTCCCGGGAATTTATCAATTTTGTTATATCCATGTTTAACTGTATTTGAAATACATTGCTATATTCAAAAATTAGTTGTAAATTCATAACACTGTATCTATGACAAAGCTAATTTTCACTTACTTTGTTAGGACCGATAATTTGTTACGTCCGTGTTCATTATGTTGAGATTTGAGTGTAGTTTCACGGGTGCATTCGAGTGTGCGGCGATCTTGCACCTTGGGACAGGTTTCTCCCGGATGCGATTTCGGTAGGGATGAAACACACTGTCTGTGGTCGCGCAGACGTCCGTCAAGTCCATCGTCAGGTTCGAGCACTTCGTGGACTCGTCGGACTCTGGCGAGCTCCTGGACGAGACGACGCGGGACATCCTCCAGTGTGCCAACATGCTTCTGTCGCCCGGCGACCTGTGCTTCCTGTGGCTCTGCTACCTGTACTTCGTCGAGTTCCGATCGCTGCCAGCCGGACTGTTCTGCATCGAACGCGGATCGGTCGGTCGACTCTGCTCCACGGTAATGCGAAAGAAGCGCTTCCTTTTCTATTTTTCCCACTGCTTTAAACCAGAGTCTCAAACACGCGGCCTGCAGACTGTACCTTTCGCTAGCGGCTGAACATGCTCACCGCTTTTTCCGTCACATATGCAGGGAAGTCTCGATACAATTCTGCATAAATTGTTTCTCAGCATAATTTCCTTTATATGTATTCCCGGCCTACATTCCTTGTAAATAATGTGTTTTAATGCAGTTAATGCGGTGGCATTTTGGCCAAGATCGGATAACACAACTGCAAAACCTGCTTTAACGTCAAAAGTTCTGAGTCATGCCTCAAAGTGCTCTGAGTACGAGTGCATTATTCTGAATGAAACAGCTGAACGTGCTTACAGCACTTCGTTTCGACCAGTTGAACGAGACGCGCTTAGCCGGAGCTCGAACTATCAGTTGAATGCGCACTGTCATCGTACGTGGCTTGCACACTGCAGTGGCTGCCTGCAGCGCCATCAATCATCAGCTAAACAAAACACGTCCACTTTTGGCGGCGTCTCCCATTGAGAAACGGGAGGGGGAGTGCGATGTAGAGGCGCTTGTCCGTAAATGGCCACAGCTCGTGGTTTTGTCTGCCAGTAGATACACCCAAACCTCAATAAAATGAGCCCGGTTAAACCAAGTAAATGAAGAATAGTCTGGGCAGTAGATATAGGAATATACCGTTATAACGAATTTTCGAATATAACAATCCTATTTTTGTGTAAGATGTAACTTTGTTGTAATGAGGCAAAAAGCGGGCATGCTTTCTTTAGCTGTCGGTTATGGGAGCTCTGATGGCAGCCGCCGCAGAGTGCAGGCCACGTGCTCGGGTGTTCCCTTTCATGAAGGATGACGGTATTGAATATTCATCTTCATTTCACACGTGAGCTCTGAAGAAAGAACAAAGCGTCTGCTTATGGACTGTGTTCGAACTGCTATGTATAAATAATGTAAATTTTAGTTTTGTTTCTTCAAATGCCTGTGAAAAATTGTTTCACAACGGTGTATTATAAGCCCGAGGGAATTGCATTTTCAGGACTCTTTTGAGATCCCCTGGGACCGGGAAGAGGGCCTGACCCAGTCGCCCGACACTCTGCTATGCGCTTTCCACGAAGCGGTGGACGAGCTCGGGGGACCCGACAAGTGTGTCGCCCTCTTTGCCAGCCACCTGAACCTGCTTTTATCCCAGTCCATGTGAGTCTGCGCATTTAAACCGGAATGGACAGAACATCTGCACAGTACATTTCAGAATCTTATCAATATTTTTTCTATCCCAAAAGATTGTTGTTCAAGGATTTAGGATATACAGTTCAATCTGGATATATTACTAATATTGGATATGTCGAGCAATTGCAAAATCTTGAATATATTTTCTATATATCAATATTCTACATGTTGAATTACGTTGCATAGAATTTTTTCAATGAGCCTTTGAAGTTAGATATATGCAGATTCAAGCTTAACTACGTAGCTGAACAAACATCTGTCGGGCTTATTTGGAAAATGGTGGCCTTGTTTTTTTTTTTTTTTTTTTTTTTTTTTGGTGCCATTTGTCTCTGAATTTAGCCCCTGTTGCGGCGGTCTAGTGGCTAAGGTACTCAGCTGCTGACCCACAGGTCACGGGATTCAATCCCGGCGGCTGCATTTCCGATGGAGGTGGAAATGTTGTAGGCCCGTGTGCTGAGATTTGGGTGCACGTTAAAGAACCCCAGGTGGTTGAAATTTCCGGAGCCCTCACTACAACGTCTCTCATAATCATATGGTGGTTTTGGGACGTTAAACCCCACATATCAATCAATTTGGCTCTCATTTTATGTGAAAGCAAACTATAAAAAAATTTGTAAATAGATCGCCGCTAGAATATCTTAATGTTTACAAAGAGCCTATTTACTGTCAGGCTCTTTATTTCTACTGTTTTACAACTCGCCATTATCGGGTGCCCCTTGCCTGTATTTCTTTCTCCTGGGCTCTTTGTCGTATGAATCTGCTATGTAGTTTACCTAACCCAGAAAATTGCTTCAAATCGGATTGGGGAATGAAAAAGCAGGATCTAAAAGGAGTCACTGTGCCAAAAAGTCGAGTTATCACCAATTGAACCTGTTGGTCAGCAGACTGACTCGGATCGTGTCAGAATTGTGTCAAGATCGGGTCAGTAGTCCGAGTGAGTAATATTTTGGTGAGTGTAAGTTCGAGTCAGTCTGGATGAGAAAAATATTCTGCCAAGTTCAAGTGCAATTGCGTACAGTTGGGGAAATGGGGAAAATTTTGGTGAGTTCAAGCAAGTCCGACAGACAAAATATATTCCATCAGAGAATCTGAGTTAGGTGCACGTTTTTTTGCTGAGGTACGTTTGAGCCATCTGTTGCACGACTGCATGTCTTCAAAGCATAGTGTAGAAAGCATTGGCCTAATGAGAGAGCTTCAGACAGGTTGGTTAACCATGTGACCTCGTTAACATTGGCAATGCAGGGGATCTTCTGCCGTACAACTCTGCAGCGTGGCAGTGGGAGACAATCCTGGCTGGTCCGACGGATGGCTCCAACTCGTTGAGCTTTACGTCAAGGCTGGGGACATGGAAAAAGCAACTAATGTAAGAAACATTCACTTAGATGATCCGGATGGTGCAGGTTCGGTCACCTGCCGGCAGCATATTGTCTTTCAGATGCGAAGCAGCGCTTTGACTGGCATGTGTACTGCTGTTCCTCCGTACATTGTGTTTGCGCGGTGTCAAGTAGGTGCCAAGTAAAGTGCGCATTGAGGTCGTGCTCCCCTCACAGTGTGCGCTGGCGTCACCCTCCCTCGCTGCCGCGTCATCCATTCGCCCGCAACACCTGCAGCAACCGCCGATCGCCACACCATCGACTCTTTAATTCACGCGCAATAAACCGGGCGCGTGCCTAACATACCGTAATTACTCGAATCTAACGCGCACCTTTTTTCCTGTTAAGCGAGTTCATAAATCGCATGCGCGTTAGAATCGAGTACGAACAAACAAATGATGGTCATCTATTGCCATCGGCAAATCCAAAATGGCCGCCCCCTACGTGCGTCGGCACGGCGCGTCGGCCATTTCTGCCTATGTGTTTCCCATGTGCGGCACTTCGTACGTGTGCTGAGGAGTTCGTCATCTAGTAGTGCATTAGCATCGACGGCATGGAAGGGCCGACTCCAAAAACTTGAGTGCACCACGATGCCACTTTTAAGGGGAGATACGAGTCGAAAAATCGCGTTTTTAGTGAAATTTCTCGTATTTCTGATTTTTATTGCATTGTAATCTTCAAACCTTCTTCTTTCATCTTTGAAAATTTCAAAACTAAATTCGAACTGCAAAATGCAAAAAAATGTGTATGAAGGCATCGCGGTGGCTCAAGATGCTCCATTATTGGACTCCCAAAGCCAATGCACCACCGAGGATTTTTTTTCGATAGCAAAGAAGGTGCACACCGCTGCCATGGCAGCTGTGAGTGAAAACTTTCGCCGATCCAGAGAGTTGACGAAAGAAGTAGCAGGCGAAACTGATGTGGCTGTTATGTTCGACGGCACTTGGCAGAAGAGGGGCCACAAAAGCCACAACGGGATTGGTGCAGTTATCTCCTTAGATACTGGCCTCTGCTTAGACTTCGAGGTCATATCAAATTACTGCCTGACATGCAGTAGGCACAAGGATATGGGCCCAGATGAGGAAGTGTGGCAGGCATTCCATGGCCCAGTCTGTGAAAAAAATGCAGACTGTTCCTCCCATGCCATGGAAACAGAGGCTGCAATGCGCATTTGGCAGAGAACATTGACTTATGACACCCCACTGCATTTCATGACATTCTTGAGTGACGGTGACAGCAAAGCATATAGTGCAGTTGCAGAGTCAAAAGTCTATGGTGCTGTCAATATAGAAAAAGAAGACTGCATTAATCATGTGGCCAAGAGACTTGGCACCGCGCTATGGAAGCGGCATGTGCCATTACCACGAGGGCAGAAAATGAAAGAGCCAGCCATTCAGAAGCTCCAAACATACTATCAGATTGCCTTAACAAGCAACAGGGGGAGTGTTTGGGATATGTACACTGCAGTATGGGCTTCGTACTTCCTCTCATGCTCTACTGACAATGCTGGCAGCCACAAGTTTTGCCCTGCAGGAACAGAGTCGTGGTGCAAACATCAACGCGCTGAAGCACTTGGTGAACCTGCACCACGCCACACACCTCTCCTGACAAAAGCACAGGGATTGGCTGTTTTGCCCAGTTATAAGCGGCTAACGGATGAGAAGCTCCTTGCTCGATGCATCAAAGGGAAAGCCCAGAACGCATCGGAATCCCTGAACAGCAAAATTTGGCTACTTTGCCCCAAGACTAAGTTTGTCTCCCGAACGGTTGTCAAGACTGCCGCAGCTATGGCAATCCTGTGGTTCAACAAGGGTCATGCTACTTTCGAGCACATCCTGGAAGAGCTCAACATACTGCCATCTAGAGATCTAGTTACTTTCAGTGATTCCCGCGATGCGAGGCGCATCAAGAGAATATCCGAGCGTCTGACAGCAGAAGCAAGGGCCCACCGTCGTCGTGGAGTGAAAAAGGCACGGCTAGAAGAGAGTGCTCGCAAGGACCGTGAGGGCACAACCTATGCTGCAGGACAGTTCTAGTAACTTGCAGTGCTTTTCAAAGTTCTGTTGAACATATTGGCCAACGATTATGCATTTCTAACAACTCTGTGATAAAAAAAAGGTTTCAAACTTTCAAATGCGTTTTTCTCCTTTTGCAGTTTTGTGTGATCTGTGCTTCTTATACACGCTAGTTCGTATACTTAGAATTGTCATACCACTATGAAATTTTGCACATAGCATGATGAAGGCCCATAGAGTGCAAGTATCTATTCAGATTGTCAGTGCTGCTTGATTATGTTTTTCAAAAATTACATATCATTGAAAGCCCTTGGCAACTAGAGCGATAGTAAATTTTTCTATTTTATTATTGTATTTCACCTTTTTACACACAAGATTTATATACTTTTTTGCACTCTACAGTTCCAAAGGATCATAGTCAGCTATATCTGCATGCTGTATCTCAAATTTTTATAGGTCAGAATTGTTGCATAACAATGGCCATAATTTTGCAGTATCTGACCTCCAGAAAGAAAACCAAGCAATCTAGATGAAAATAAATGACATATTTGAAAAGAGGAGAAAAAACTCTATTAGCATGCCAATTTGTGTTAAATTCAGACTTTTATAAAAGAAAATCGTTTTTCGAGTAGCATCTCCCCTTAAAAGAAAAGTCATCGCGCGTGCAGAAACGGACGGAAATGGGGCCGCATCGCGGTCGTTCGAAGTTCCCGAAACGTGCGTGCGGGACCGGCGGAAACAAAAGCAAAAGATTGTCGACAGCAAAGCTTGACGCAAAGGCTTCAGTGGACCACAGCAGGGTCGGTTTCTGCAAATTAAAGAGCTGCTCTACGAGGATGTGCTTGAGCAGCGAGCGGCACAGCGGCCCGTGACGACAGAACTGCTCCAAGTGTGGGCTATGCAATTAGTCTTAGAAAAAGGTCTAATGCGGAGCCAGTTTAAAGCGAGCAGGTGCTGGCTAACCAACTTTATGAAGAGGAAAGGCTTTTCCCTCCGAAGGGGAACATGCATATGCGAAAAGTTTTGCGGAGTAATACGACGAAAAGCTTCACAGTTTTCAGAGGTTCGTCCTAAACTTGCGGCGCAACAACGGCTACCTGCTTGGGCAAATCGGGAATGTCGATCAGACACCTCTTTACTTCGACATGCTTGGCACCACAACCGTCGAGAAGAAGGGGGCGAAGCAAGTTCATGTGCTGACATCGGTCCACGGTAAAACTACAGTGACGGCAATGCTCTGTTACACGTCAGATGGGCACAAGCTTCGCCCGTACCTCATATTTAAATGGAAGATGCTCACGAAAGGAGTCGTTTTTTTCGAGTGGTGTGATCGTGCGGGCCAGCGAGAAAAATGGGTGCGCGTTGCAATGAATGTCTTACGTGGTTTTTTTTTTTTTTTTTTTTTTTTTTTTGTAAGCGGTGGAAATCGGGTGCGCGTTACAATCGAGGGCGCGGTATAATCGAGTAAATTACGGTACACGTTGAAACATGTCCGTACATGTCACCTACAAGACCTAAGCCAGCCATCGCTTCGAATTAATCTTCCAGCACTCCAGGAGTGCCCGCGTTAGCGTCGTTCAACCTGTGACGCCACCCATACGCAATGCTGCTGCTTCGCATCCCGTGCCATTATAGCTGAAAGTAACTCATTTACTCTAATTTCATTGTTTGCTAGCTTGGACTGCTCTAGCGCATAATACCAGAAGTCACCAAGCACTGGGTTGAAAAGTGCTTCCATTAATCTGAACATCGGTTTATTAGACTTTGCAGTCCCCCATTAATCTGAAAAAAAAAAAAAAAAAAAAAGGCTCTGCTGTAGTCGCCAATACAAGGCTCTGCGTTGGTCAGTTTTGTGCCAAGTTGTGCACTGATGTGATTTTCAAGTGCTGTAGTACAAGGCGTATTCTAAGCTTTCACTAAACGGAACAACTGCATACAATGTAATTGGTACAGTGTCTGTATTCTGCACTTTTGTTCGTCTCTCAGCAGCCTGAACGCCTGTGAAATAGAATATATTGTCCTGGTGTCTTCATGTTCTCTTGAGTGCCTACTGTATAATCTTTTTAAACAGGTAACGCCACATTGGATAAGCCACTGTTCTGTAGCTTTTCATCTTCTGTTCTTTTCTTTTTTTTTTCAATGCCGAAGAGAGCATATTTCTTATTGTTCTTGTAGTGTTACATACATGTGTTTTCGCAGCTGTCTACACTCAAACCTCGATATAAGGAATCTGGACGAAATAGTGATTCTAACAAAGAAAATTAAAAGTAGTCTTGTGATAAATATAGTGATAGGAATATACCTTTATAACGACGAATTTTCGTTCATAACTAATTTATTTTCCTGTGTGTGTATAACGAGGTTTGGGTGTCCTTTCTAAATTAGAGGGATCGCACTGCTGCAGCTGCTGCCTGAGTGACACTGGGCGCAAAGCCCACCACTGCAGGCGCGAGCACTGCAATCGCTGTGGCATGTAGGGTTGGATCACATGATCTCGCCTTGCTCTGGCAAAGGAAAGCTGGCAGTTGGATGCAGTTGCTTTTAATGGCCACTTCACGGTGTTTTCATTTTTTAACAGCGTTGTATTGTTGTGACTTCATCTGTGCGTACATCTGCAGACTGCACAATACGGAAAGTTGCAGTAAACATTACCGGCAGCATTGCCACAGTGCACTACGTACGCGATGCCACTGGCAGTGCCACTGTCACCTCTCTCTTTGTTGTTGTGGTTGTTATTTCGAGCCCATGGAGTTAAAATAGCACAGACCGTGAATGCTCACATCAAAGCAGAACATTTCAATTTCTGCACGGAAGCCTCGTTCAGAAATAAAAATGAACGTGCTAACAGTTTGGTTATGTATATTTTAAAATGGGACTCTGAATTGTCAGGGAGTCAAGAGATAGCCCGGAAGTCCAGTTTCTTTCTCTTTGTTTTCATTATCTTTGAGCTATAGCAGTCTATTTCGTGACCAGTTGCTTCTGCGTGCTCGGCCAGCCCGTTCGACGAAACCTCCTTTCTTAGATCATACATGTGCGCTCTGGTGAATGCTAAAGCTTACTTCTCTCGCCAAGGTAACTTTTACCGCAGTCTGCGCCACCACCATCCTCCCTTGGTGTCCATCCCCATGTGTGTACCCGACGCGGGTTTCCATCCGCCAATGGTGTAGCTAGGGGGTGGCACACCAAGCCTGTGTTTCCCCCTCGCCCTTCGAAAATTTTCTATGGCATATAGTGCACAAAATAATGGTCGCCCACATTTGCCTGCCCGGCCCCCAGTTCAAATCAAGGTGGTGCCGCCTGCGAAAAAAAAAAAAAAAAAAAAAAAAACTCTGTCAACTTGCCTGCCATCTGCGACTTCAGCTCACAGGGTTCCTTGCTTATAGATTACGTCTGTATGGAATGGGCCCATAGCCACGGTCACTTCCTTTTAATGTTGTTTTGATCTACAGGCGAAAACGTTGTAAGGTTCGAAAAGTGATGTGTCTTCAAAGAGCTGCCGTGAAATATTACACAGCTTATGAATGAAACTGCAAAAAAAATATATAAAACTTGACACAAACAATTTCACTGGCACATGAAATTGCCGTTTAGATCACAGTGCGCGAGACCTCGCAGCATGCCCAGGGGCGTAAAATGATATGGCTGGCTGATCACATTTTTTAAATCACGATTTGCCTCTTTGTAGAAGCTCTGGAACTGAATCAATCATTCATAATTTTCACCCACGTGGGGATAGATGGCGACTCTATGTGCAACGTGTGACCACCGTAGAACTTTTGTGCAATAACTACTAGGAGCATGCCACAGAGAATAGTTACAACTCTGAATGAGGCACGCGCGTGTGTGATTCTCACGTTTGTGAGCAACCATCGTAGAGAGGTTGCGGCTGCATGCGGCTGTAAGATTGCCGTGTTGCTTCCCAGAAAGCGGGAAATCCGCTTGCGCTGTGCTTCGTAGGGTTATATGTGCTAAACATAAACATATTTTGCGCATGTCAACCGCGGCCCGTCTTTAGATGCAGACCTATAATGAATTAAGTAGCAGGGTTGCGCGCATTTCTTGCAGCAAAGATAAGTTTCTTTACCGTTAATACCCATTTGGTGCTTCAATTTGACATCTTCGATTGAATGAGTCATCACCTTTTACCGAGGTGGCGCGCTCTGTCGCCGTGGTTGTTTCATTTATGTGGCCATAGTAGATGATGCCGGCTGCTAGGCATTGTGAGAAGCGTAATACTTTTCTGGGGCAGTTATTCAGCACTTTGTACAGTCAGGGAAGAAGCTGCAGCAGTATTTTACTGATTTCGTTGAGTTAAGTACAAGAATAATAATTAAAAAAAGAAAACGCGAAAGCGGCTGTGGGCTGTGCGCGAGAAGGCGGCGGAGCAATCCAACCACGTACGTCACAGGGATGCCTTCGCATGGTGGCGCCACGGTATGTCCTTGCGCCCACTAGTCTGGACAGGCATCGCGTAGGCCTTTCGCTGCATCTCCCGAGACAACTTGTAAATTGTCTTGCTCGAAGCCCAAACCAAGTCGATCAATCGTTCGCTCTTTCTCATTTGCTAGGCATTGCAGAGGGGCCTGTCGCGGCTACCGACCGATCCGCGGCTGTTGTTCAAAGCGGCATCGGGAAACTTTGACTTGCCAAGCGACGTCATCCACGAGCTGCTGGAGAACTTCGTGGCCAACTACTTCCAGACTAGCAGCAACATGGTTGGTCTTCAGCGAAAGACGGAAGAGTGAGTTTTAAAAGCACGGACAACCTTTTTTTACGGTACTGGTTTTCTCCAGCGCTGTGGTCAGAGTGTCTAATCGCGGAATGGTAACGTGAAAAACACCCCAAACATTTTAAACATAATTTGCAATGACCATGAAGTCGCATAGAGTAAAAGCTTGTTAATTTAGGCTCCATGAGACCAGAGAAAATGTTTGAATTAACCTAATATCGAATCTTACAAAGTATCATGAAAACAATAAACAGTAGTCTGCCGCGGTGGATAAGTGGTTGCAGGGCTCTGCTGCTTATCAAAAAGTCGCGGGTTCAATACCTGCCGTGGCAGTTGCATTTCGGTGGAGGCGAAATGGCTGAGGCCCATGTGCTGCGTGATGTCAGTGCATATTGCACAACACTAGATGGTCGTAATTTCCGGCCACTACATCGCCTCCTATAATCTTATGGTGGTTGCAGGATGTAAAACCCCAGACATTATTATTAACAACAAGCTGCAGTATTATTACACGAATGCACTTTCATTTTCTTGATGAATAGATAAATTGTGCACCTCATTCGCATAAGAGCAGTGTAAAAGTCGCCATTTTTGTCATTCTGCAACTTCGTTCGCAGCGCAACCATGGCGCCACGCTGCTGTGTTTAATTAGCTCAAAATGTGCTCTGCACCCCTTCCTTATTCCATGGCGTCGCAACCACTGTGTGCACGTGAGGATGTACTAGTTTCTTCACCGTTAGAGTGGCCGGCAGCAAATCATCCGTCTAAATAAAGCAAAGGAGTTTTATGCCAGTGTACTAACTTGGCTTGAAGCTCCTAATCTTTCACAGCTCCCACCATGTTTGAGTTTTGTTGCATTGTGCACACATTTCATTGAGTTAAAGAGAAGTTTAGCAGGCCTGTACTGTGCCGCGTAACGCAAAATATTGTTCCGTTCGCTTCGTGTCATTTGGCATTGCATCTTCACACTTCTCATGATCGACATTGCCCATGCTGAGAGTCCTAGCATATTTCGGAAGGCTCAATCAGGGAGGATCAACGTGGGCTAGTGTTCCATGGTACAGTGCACTCAAACCTCGATATAATGAATTAGCAATTATAATGAAGTAAGGGACCAATAGCTTTGTCATAGATAATGTCACAAATAATCGCTTATAGCAGATTTTCGGAAGTATTTTGGTCGCAGATGTGACTGTTAAAATGAGGTTTAAGTGTTCCGTCCACATTGTGTCTGCTTCCTGCAGTCGTTGCATTGACATGGGCTTGTCATCAGCGGTGCTTTCACGCCAGGCTTTGATCTCAGTCGCATTTCGACCGAAACAAAACGCTAAAGGCCCCATGTGATGTGTGTGCACGTTAATCTAGAACCCCAGGTAGTCAATTATACAGAGCACTCCATTATGGCATGCATCCATCATGGTTTTGGAACGTGAAACTCAGAAATTCACACTTTTTTTTTGCAAGATCAAACATTTAGTTGACACCTATAATTTCGCTTAGTTAGCATCTGTTAGTAGAGCACTTACGTTAGCGGAATTCTACAGTACTTGACGGTGAACTAGCACTGTCTGTAGTGAATGAAGAAATAATGATAATGTTTGGTTCTGTTTGCTTATTAATTGTATTGAAATTGAAAAAGAGGAGCTCAGGAAAGTTTTTTTTTCCAACTTATCTCTAGATCCTGCATATCATTTCCAAGGCTTGTGGAGGAATGTGACGGTCACACCGTCTACATGCGGCTCAACTTCATGTGAGTGCTACGGACTGCTTTTTCTATTCTCCTGTCAACCTCTGTTCTGTCAACCTCTGTTTTGAAGATTCCACTTGACAGCAGTGAAAAACGGTGTGCCGTGTTTTGCGTTGTAAGGAGGCTTGTGCGAGTATTCGAATGCTTCGAATATTCGAACGAATAATACAGTGTGGTCGAACCCATTTATAAGAGGCACTGATATAAGCATAGAGTTTCCCGAAATTTACTAGAGGGCACTCTGGCGCTGCGATCATTTAGCGACCATGGCAATGATGGGTAGTACACATATTTGCCTAGTCTTCGTACTTGCGGGCGGCGAATCGTATTTGCGGCTTCGTTTATTGCTGGTTACGGTTTTGTTTTGAAAGAAAGAACGAACCCTTTTGAACTTGGTGACTTGATTCAAAATGGTAAGCCTAAAAGAATATGGTTGTGAAGCGCAAACGGTGAACATTTGCTAATTTATGTTTTCGTGAAAAAACAGCTCCAAGCCACACGAACACACACGGAGCCAGAAGCAGGCCAGAAGTACGAATATTAGACAAATGTGTGTACTACCCATCATTTCCATACTTGCTGAAGCGCCGTGTGTTGCAGCTCCCATAGACACTAGCGCCAGAGTTCCCTCTAGTGTATATTAAGAAACTCTATAGATATAAGAGACAAATGGGTACAAGAGACACCAGCTTACCCACAATAAAAGTGGGTTGATAAGGAAATGCATACGAGATGCCCTGCTTATAAGATACATCTCGTAAAAAAAAGACAAGAATTGCTGGCCCGCAGCGTGCCTCCCATAAAGGGGTTTAACTGTATTTGAATTTGCTTAGAATCAAATTTAAATTACTTAAAATTTTCACAAAGTATTCAAAACAAATGAACAGATTGCGGGTACGCTGGTCTCTCTTATATCAGTCTCTCTTATATAGGGGATCAACTGTAGTGGGCATGTAGCTCCCTGGAGAAGCGGTTTCACTGGAGTAGAGGGGTGCTAAATCATGAAAACACCCAATCAAGTGTACTTAACTCACGTGTAACTTTTTGTAAAGGTGGTTTCACTGTAGTGAACTATTGGTAAATTGTGAAAACACGTATACGGGGAAATCCACAATGCTGCAAAGCCCCATTTAAAGTTAATTAACTTATTGCCCTCACATCGATTCATCATTTTTTAAGTTTTAAAGCTTGTTGTACTGGATTACATGCTATAAGTATAGTAAATTTTGAAATGTAACATATTTTTACAGATTATCATTTTCATTCTACTGAATGTCAAATCCTGCTGATATTTAAGGTTGTTTCCACTTTCTTCGAACAAAAAAAAAAAGGCATTTCCACAGGCCTTGTTTCAATTACTAAAAAGTCTTGTGCAGTTTAGTTGGGTCATGACAAATAGTATGCCCATTTTTCTTTATAATACAGTATAGACCGCTTATAACGTAAGTCGCGGGAGTCACGAATATTGTCACTATAAGCGGTACTGCACTATAACCAAAACAACCTTTTTCAAGGGCCGCACTTACACAAAACGTGTTGAGCATGCAGCTTCCCGTGTCCGAGAATCGAAACATGCGATGGCGGCTTGCTAACATTTAAATTTCTGAATGTTAAAAGAATTTAACGTCCAAAAACGCGTTGCCACTGAAGGGGGAGGGTCTAAGAAATGAAAGCACCATCGCAGATATTCGCCGACTGCCAGACCGCCTCGATTATGCGCATTACACAAAAACTATGTTAAATCACGTCCATAGTTTGACGCGTTGAAAGACGCCAACCATGCGATTTCACGGGCGCGCACCCTATTTAAGACATCGCAATCGAATCGTGAACCACTATTTGAGCGCTACACGTGCCGCCCTCGTTTTCATTTAACGATATATATCCCTTCCCGTCAAGTTCGGCCATCACAAAGAGTTTCGTTGATTAGGTATCAAACCGCAACTTAGATTCACGCGACCGCTACTGATCGCAGCGCAACCAACGCCGATTAGGCCTAGCTTGCCGTTCGATATGTTGGCGCGGAAAGCTTGTCCAAAACATGAGGATTCGGCATCAAAAAGATCGCACCAGCAATGAACCAAGAACCGCATGCGTGATATGAAGTTCGCAATCGCGGCCGGGAGATCACCAACGAGGGTCGACAACTCGCCATGCTTACACACGACAGCGCACTGGCAGCAAAGGTGAAAGCTCGCGTCATAAAACCGTAAAAAGTTTTCAACATACGAATGAGGAAGCAAAGACGATATTTCTTGCAAGCGCGATAACGACGATGTCTTTCCCGGCAGGAAACTGTTAAACGCATGTAGTTGATAAGGACGGGATTGCACGTGCCACGTTGAGCGGCACGCGGCCACAGCCACACTAGCGATATAGATGCAGTACGCTGTAGCTGCGTTGGCGCCGATGCAAAGGCTTATCTGTCACCGATGGCAACTGTCCTCCCTTACTCAAAAAGCCCGCGCAGTGCCCGCGGTCTTTTATTAAGGGGCGAAGCTCCTTAAGAACTCACGATGGCCGCCGTCTCCCGTCTGTAACATTTCTGAACCATTTTCCAGTGTAACCTTCAACTTATAAGCAACAGAGGGCGCTGTAGTTAATTGTAGATGTGATGCCGCTGCTGTCAACGCTATATATATATATATAACCACGTTCCATACCACACATTCTCTTCTCTCATATGGACGAAGACGAACGCAGAAAAGCGCGTGCTGATTATCAGCGTTGCCGTCGACGGGAAGCTACCGCGGAGACAAAAGAGAAGGAAGTGGATGCGAAGCGGCAACAACAAAGTTCTACACCACAGACTAGGGCTAAGGAAGCAAAGGCTAAGCGGGAAAAGCGCCAAGCTGACGTGCAGTTGAGACAACTTGAAGCGGATGCAAGGCGGCAATACCAACAAGAAACTTCTACACCAGAGACGATAGCTAATGAAGCTGTGATTATGAAGTCAAAACGTAACCCAGAACTCGGAACCTCATATCAGCTATAAGGAAGAATCACCGCTATATCACAATCAGTCTCAGTACTATCTCAACTTTAATCACAATAATCACCTTCGAAAGCTTCGCCCCATAATTATCTTCAAGCAGCTTGAAATGCAGTGATTTTTCATTTTCTTTTCCTTTTCTTCGTTCTTGGTTTATTCACTTCGTGTCCCCTCCTCCTTCGTTACGACCTCGTGGTTCACTCCCCAGCAGCGCACCCAGTGCTACTCGCTACCGCGTCTGTCTCAAACAATTTCTGACAACCGCAATATAACCGGTCTTTCATCTTGGGGTACTGCACAATAAGCGGTATGCGTATACACGAGATTCTATGGGAGGGCGAACAGGAGTAGAAAAAGACCGCATTGTAAGCGGTTTCGCACTATAAGTGGTTACGTATAAGTGGTCTACACTGTATTTGATATGTACTATTCGAATCGGCTTCAAACCTAGTACTCACTATTCACACAAGCCTGCGTTTGGCTCGTGTTTGGCTTTTAGTTAGTCTATAGTGAATGAAGCCTGGATGCATGCGTTATGGCAGCTGCCTTATTGACCGGCTCACATGTGTCCAAGAAAGACATCTGGAATACTTTATACGGAAACATTTTGTGCCTATATTGTGGCTTGGAAATGAATCCTGTTCATTTTTTGGGGATAACGAGTATTTTCATTTTGCCTTGAGACTCATATCACCGAGATTCTCCTGTACCCCCTTGAAAGTGCTCGAAAAGTTCATTGCGGCCCATGGTGGCCATTTTGTGTCACTCACTGCTGCAGACCTTAGCATTGTGTCCCGGCTGAGCCAGATTAACGGGCTTGGTGGGGCTGGGGCTTGGGTGCGCTTGCGGTTGGGGGCCGCCTTCTTCCTTCGCTCGTGCAGTGAACTGTTGAAACTGTCGGGAGCATCCCCCCGAGACGTGTGTGAACTTTACGAGACCCTCCTGACAGTGTCGGACACGACATCTGACGTCCAGCTGGCCTGGTGGTGGTAAGTGAGAACAAATCTTTAGGGTTTTAGACTGGTTATGACCAAAAGTGAACTCATTCTTCCCCACGTTTTAGAGCTGAGGTCATCCTGAAGTGTTGGAAACAGCTAGCTAATTTTTAGCTGTGACCATTCTTATGCCTTTATTAATTAGCTTAACCAGCGGGCATTTATGTGAAAATGTAGAGCTCCCTTAATAAACATTTTAGTTGCGGGTAATTACGCTGAGTGGTGCGATCACTTGTGTGTCTGCTTAACGTTGTTCTTGCCAGTATTACTTGCGCAATTATTGTTTTGCAGCTGGGCAGTTTGTCTTTGTGTCACGTTTAGGTAGTGTTTGCAGGACCCCCTCTCAAGCCTGTTTCACATGCGAGTGACTGAGTGGCAGCAGGACGCCCAGACACTAGTTCATTTTGCATGCGCCGCTTTTGCACGATGCCCGCCGCTCTGGCTAGGCAGCGTTGCCCTTGCTACAAGAGTCGGAGCGAGTTTCCTCTCGTAAACCACGCCCACTATTAGACTCCGCCCCCGCCGTCACGTGCTCCCCATGTCCATGCTCCCCCATTGGTCAGACGTTCTGCCGCAAGTGAATCTTTTCAATTTGGCAGTGTTGACGGCAGTGTCCAGTGGACACACTAAAGACCCGCCAGGCCTACATCGAACGCACAGCACGGTCACAGCGAAAGCTGGAATAGCAGCATTTCAGAGCCTTTTTCTAAACACTCTTTGAGTAACTGCTATACGTACACTTGCTGGGTACCTACTACGCGCGTGACCCCTGTTTTAATCGCATTACAGCTTTCGCTGTAAAAACTGTTTCGAGTTCGTGCACTCGCTGCCGCTCCGCTATTAGAGCAAAATCGCCCGCACGTGTAACAGGCTTTAAATTTAAGGACTCACTGCAGTGGTGTAGCAGTTGTGGTGATCGACGGCCAACACAAAAGTAGCAGGGCCGAATCCTGGTTGCCGTGGCCACATTTTAATACTAGAGGCGAAATGTTAGAGGTCCATGTACTTCGATTTAGGTGCACATTGGAGAACCCTAGCTGGTTGAAATTTTCTCAAGCCCTCCATCAGGGCATGGAACTGACTTTTGTCATGTTTGCACAGCTAAGTGTTGTGGGAGACACTTTGGGGGTACATAGAACTTTGCTACTCCAACCGCTTGGTCGTTTGTGTCAGGTACCTGAACTATCAGCTCGAGGCGGTTGTCCGACGAGACGCCGGCTCTGCAGATGTCGTGAGCGGCCTGGTGCAGCGCTGCCTCGAAAGCGTGCCCACCCGGCGACACCTGCCCGGCGAGCCGCGAAAGATGTGGAGCGACTACAGCTTCACGAACCACATGCTCAATCTTCTCGCCGCTCACATGACTTCGCCTCGTGACGCAGCGGACCTGCTGTGGTCTTACCTGCTGGATCGGACTAAGCAGAACCCAGCGCTGGTCCAACGGTGTGTGCTATGAGCAGACATAGTCGTGTGAATGCTGTGTTGAAAGTAATACTGGGAAGGCTAGGCTAGACAAGGCAAGGCAAGGCTGGGCTAGACTAAATGAATTTGATTGTGGAAAGCTGGTTTGAGACCATGCTGTAGTCATATTCTACACGATGCCTACAGCAATGAAGAACACTTTATTTTATAAAATTAAACGATAACTTTCTGGGATTCGAGAATCGCGCGCCATTCTATATTCTGAGTTGGTTCCAGGGTGACAGCTTAAGTGTAATCCAGTAAGACTCAAGACTGTGAATTAGGAGGGAGAGGAAAATTGATAAAGCACAGACAGGATAGGAAGCTAGGACAGTTCTCAGATCGGCTTGCCACCTTGTGACTGGGAATCGAAGTCGCTGAGTGGTACTGGCTATGAGCTTCTGTAGATAGCTTACTGCTTGCCACCATGTCTCTCAATGAAAAATTTTTGCCGGGGTCTCTTCTTTTGCTCGTCATGCCTAATTAACAGTTAGTATGGTATGGAATGATGCTTTGTAAGCTGTAAAACATGTAAAGAAATAATGTTTCAGTGCTGTCTTGAAGTCTTTTGTACCAGCCTGAGTTGACATCCCTGATATTGTTGTCTACCTACACCAACTTCATTATTTTTTTGTTGAAATATGGTTTAAGTTATGTTGAAAAAGAGCTTTAAGGACCAGTAAAGTAAGTTCAGTCCCACTTACTGAAAGCGTAATTGGGTGCTGAATTGAGGAGGAGAACCAACCATATTAGAGATGGGTCTATTATGCAGCAGTTCTGATTAAGAGATCTCTATTTACACAGAGTTGACTGTAATTTACTGGTGGACACGAATTTAGTGTTTTCACTTTAGCGTTCTCTTACATTTTAGTTAGGTGTTGCGTATTGCGTGTATCGACTACCCTGATCACAGTGGCAAGTGTAATGCAATTTTAAGCACCCAGAATGCCACTTTGGAAATCCATGGTTCTGTTGATGCGTAATTAGGTAGCATACCTGACATTTGTTATTTGAAGCAGTTTTTATAATTATGTGTTACAGGTATAAGCAGCCCTTAAAAAAAAACTATGTACAAACGCGTGATGGCTGTATCCGTTGAAAGGTGTATTCTGGGCATGCTGCTGGCAGTTGTGGCCGTAAACTTCCTGAGAGCAAGAATGACAGCATAGTTTAATATATATTATGCTTTAATGCAGAACAATATTCCTTATAGTCAAAGTGATAGTCTAAAAAGTACTGACAACTCAGCTTCGGATAATAACTTACTTATTCTCGAGCCACTGCTCCCAAGGCTAGACACTCCATCGCAGCAGAGCGAGTTCGGCAGACGCACTTGCCGACAAGTATGCTTTTCAGCGAGATTCACTAAGCGTTTCCATGTGACAGCGTGATAATAATATTAGCGACGATGGGCAGTCTCTAGAAGTGAAGTTGCTCCGTGTAACCGGTGTATGCACTCAAACCTCAATGTAAGGAAATATCAGTTATAACAAAGTAAATGAAAAATAATTTTGCAATAGATGCAGTGTTAGGAATAACCTTTATAACGAATTTTTGGATATAACGAACCTATTCTTTTATAAGATGCGGGTTCATTATAATGAGAATTGAGTGCAATTGCAGTGGCTGCACTGCACTTCGAAAGCCAGAATGTTTTAATTTTAGCCAACTTTCCAATGTCCTAGTTCTCAGAAAATGGTAAAAAAAAGTGCCAGCTCTAATTTTCGTGGTCTCAGTTGAACTGCCACAATTGCCTCTGGTGAGCACAGTAGCAAAGACATTTCCTTTGCCTTTCACGTTGTGGCATTACATCCAGGCACTGATCTAGACATGCCTGTGATCTTAACTGTCTTAAAGTATAAAAACATAATTAGATGATAATAGTGCTGGTGGTAACCTTCGTTTTCGGTTGTTTCTCTGCAAAAAGAGGACAATTGTTTTGATCAGACCTTCGCATTTCTTGGTAGACCTTTACTGATATAATCTACTTTCAAGCATCTTATTGTTTCTTCTTCGGGGCATTAAATTGTGATACTGTGTGATGCATATGAGGCTTTAACGATTTTCAAGTATGTGTGCGATAAATATTGAAAGCAGAACACCTAATTAAGGGAACTACAGGATTGCTATTACTCTAGTCCAGCCCACGTTAGCGCACTTTTTGTTCACTGCCACATTTTCGCTCTCGCACATTGCTCAGTGTCAGCCATGCCGTGATCAACGCAGGCTGCCATTGCTTGTGGAGGAAGATTTGGCCTTTCTCGCCGAGCTTGGCGTGTCCCGCGTTCTTGAGGAAATGCGATGTTTTTCTGTCTTATTTTTTCTCTCTCTCACCTTTGGCAGAGTGGTGGAGCTGTACCTACAGTCCGGCGACCGGGACCGGGCCGAGACCGTGCTGCGGGCAGCACTCGTGCCGGGCCTCCAGTCCCTGCGGCTCTGGCAACTGTGAGGCCTCGCACTCTCTCTCGTACTTGCTTACTGTCTGCGCGTTGACGAAGTGAAAGCGGGAAAAGGTCAACGCGCTGAAACACTGTAGGGGTGCACTCCGGTGCCGCACTTTACCGATAACAAGCAGTTTTCAAACAGGTAGACCATACTTGAGCATTCATCGTTAATAGTCATGCATGCTGTAGTGTGATCTCTTATAGTACTGTGTGTTGTCGTATACTATACACTGTGCACCATATTTCATCGAGTATAACCATAACAAAATTCCTTCTTTGTTTAGCTCAACTCCAAACAAAAATGCTTCCATACTTACTCAAAAATATGTCGGGCACGAATATAGGTCCACCTTCACTTATAGTGTTCTACGAGAGGAAAAAAAAACAACATTGGAATATAGGTCGACCATTGCTTTTTTTTTTTTTAGTTTAGAAACAGAGAAAGTGAAACGTAGCACACTTTTATTTGCATAACTCAGCGCCCTAACGCTGCCGGGGCCGTCATCTTGTCAGATGTGCAAGATGATGATGTCATCGGATTCTTTGCAAGCATCCACGACTTCCCAAACCGCGTCATCCTTGCTGCCACCACTGCCCATTGCTGGGCCTGCGAAAGGCATGACGCTGACATTTGCACGCAAACAGACAGCCCCGTTGCTTTCGCCAACCCCTAATCAACTTCTCATTTACACAGAGCTCCCGCTGCACAGCACAATTGCTTGAGTCCTCGGTAAAGAGTATAACTTCGCACTTGTAGTCACCTGTGTAGCTCTGCCGACGTGGCATCATCGCAACTGCACACAACCAAGTGGTGGTAGTGGTTAGAAAAAGGAGAAGACGCATAATTTGTGCAGCCGGTAGGGAGCACGGCGCAGCGCCTAAAGCAAATGTGAATCATGTTTCGGCTGTTACCCCTCTGGTACAGTGCCTCAAAGCCTTAGCACTGTATGAGAAATGCCTTCATGTAGGGATGTTCATGCATCTGGTGCCAGCATATAAACTCGAGAGAAAGCCTCTGGAAAATTTTGGGGGATAAAAAGCAACCAGGAATGAAACTGGAGAACCAGTTGAATATGGTACATTCCTTGCAACAACGAACAATGCAGCTGACAAATTTAGTAGTAATGGATACTAGTACAATCTTTGAAGTAGCTGGGATCTCCTGCACCATTTGCGGTGCGGTAAATGTTGTACACTGAAGCCTCGACTCAACGAAGCCTGTTATAACGAAATGTCGGTTGTGACGAAGTTAATGAAGAATAGTCTTGCAATAAATATATTGTTTGGAACGTACCGCTACAATAAATGTTCTAATATAAGTTATCTTTGTATGAGATGCAATTTTGTTATAACCAAGTTTGAGTGTAATCTATAATTGTGCCGGCGATGAGCCAAGCATAAGCCGCCATGCCAGAAATGGAAAGGACCAGTCAGTCTTGCGGCATGCATAAATCAGTGAACAAATTCATGAGCTAAACAACAGCACTTCTGCTTGTGGTGGCGAGTGATTGCAGAGGGGTATGACTGGTTGTGACTTCTTTCATATTTGCCCACTCATACCTCATTATGTCAAAGTTGCATCTCACACGAAAATAAGTTGGTTATATCCAAACATTTATGATAAAGCTAGATTCTGAACAATACATCTATTCTAAAACTATTTCTCATTTACTTTGCTATAATTGATATTTGGTTATATTCAGGTTCGTTATATAAAGGTTTGAGAGTAGTTGGAAAACTTGAAATGAATTGCCCAGTCCCCTATAAAGGCCTGGCCACACTTACACGTTGCAGGCCATGTCAGCCCGCACCGTAGCACCCTCTTCCTATGGAAAGCGAGGGCACTCAGCTGCGTGAAGTTGTGCATCCTCTCACGCTTTAGGAAGAGGGCGCTGCACAGCGTTAAAAAAGCCACGCGCTGACGCGTGCATGTGGTCTTGTGTTGAGGGTTGCACTGCGCTAAACTGCCGAAAGTGCAGCCCTCACTCGAGCTTATATCGCAGATTTTGCACAAAACTTTGCTCAAATAATCATGAAGTGATTGTCCGAGAATGATGCACTCATCTTATAGGAAGTTTTCAACGAAACTGACATCAGGGGCTATGTTTATCTTGTAAAGTATGAAAAGTGACATGTTTTTCTTGCTGGTGCTTCTGTAAAAAAAAGCTTACGTCTAATTGGTATTGCTTTCTATGAGGAACGAGGTTCATTTTAAGACTTATGCATTGTCTTGCAAAAAAGAAAAAAGAGATATGAAGCAAGCAGTTAAATGTTGCGTAAAAAGCTTTCTTTGTGTTTTCAAACATTTAGTACATGTCCTGCGATTCAAACATTTTGTACATGTCCTGGCGGCTGTTCTTTTTAAGGGGGCAGACTGCACTTTGGGACCAAAAAGTTACAAAAAAAAATCATTTTTTTAAAATTGGCATATTTGGTATCTGCAAGTATTTTGCTATCTCTCTGCAAATTTTTACACACCAGGAAGTGGTTAACTTTTTGTAATCTCATTCTGTCTAGATTCTTGGTGCTGTTAGCATGGAGAACCTGCAAAAAAATGGGGAACCAATTTTGAGGCCTCTTTATAATTTGCCGGCACCTGTGTTAGAAGCTCTGCTACGAATTTATGAGCACTTTTATGTGAATTGCAAAACATGCACACCATGATTGTTGCTTTTTGAAGAAGCTGTGTGTTTTCAGTTTTTTCCATTTTTCTCAAAAAAGTAAATTTACAACTGTTCAATTTTGAGGCCTCAATATCTCTGCAGCTAGGGCAGGTACAACAATGAGTCTTTTTGCAATGGAAACCTGTATGTGTGTAGGGTGCAAGTATGGAAGCAGAAGTTAGAGAACAAGCCTTTTTAATTAATTACTCATCAAAATTTTAACACAGTTCCAGCTGCTTTTGAAGATAGATAGTTCATTTTGCTGTAAAATATAAGAAAGGCTTAAAAACAAAAAACTCTTGCATTATTTCAATCTATAGTCATTAGTCTATGTTAGGATATTTAAAATATCACTTTTAGTTACGCATTTTTTTTTTCTATGGTGGTCTTAAACAATAGGGGGTGAACTTAAGTTATCTCAGGAATAAGATGAGTTACAGTAAAAACTAATTGAACATTTGAAATCAGCAGAAAAAACTGCATAATTCTGTGCAGTTTGATCAAGATCACTGAAGAAATAAACAAAAAATGTCTAAGAGCAGTCTGCCCCCTTAATATTGTAGTGAAAAATAGTGAAAAAAATGTAAAAATAGTAAAAAAAGGGACCTGCTTTAATTTTGTAGTTTCTGTTGAGTTGTTGCAATGACCTCTGGCAAAGTACAGTGGCTAGACTGCTTCCTTTGCGTTTCAAGTTTGTGCGCTAAATCCAGGCACCAATCCTGATCTTAAGTGTATAATATAAATATGATTCAGAGATAATAATAATTGTGCTGATGGTAACTTTTGTTTTCAATGATTATTGGGTCAAAGGAAGGAAAAAAATATCTGACTTTGGTCAGATTTTGGTTGATTTCTACTTAGAAGATATACTGTCATGTATCTTTTTACTTATTTCTTATTTTGAAGCCATTAAATCGTGATACTGTGCCGTGGTAGTGTGGCTTTAATGATTTTCAAGTACACGCTTTTGCAAAAATGGAGAACAAAACACCTAATTGAAGGAAGTGCGTTGTAACTATCACTTATTGCAACCTACGTGTGCAACCCGTGGTTTGAGCGACGCTCCCAAAGAAAAAGGGGAGAGGGTTTTGGGTTTTCTGTTTTTCATGCCCTAAAATGCAGGAAGAGGCATCCGTGCTCATTATCGCATAGATTTGTTACATGGAGAAACTACTTCAGCTACTAATAGTTTGCCATTCTACTGTACAGACTTGGAGCTTCAGCGTGAGAAACCGGCACACCTTGCAGATTTTTCTGCATTGTCCAACTGAAGCCTCAAGTTCTTTCCCGACTTCTACAAAATCTCGAAGGGAAAAGCAGAAGGGATTCTGTACTAAAGTGAAAGTAATGAGAACAAATAAACAGCTGGAATAGTTCTGAGTTTACAGTGGTGGTGCACATTAACAAAGTATGCCAGGCTAGGGTCCAAGACCGTCCCTGCTGCTTCAATTGATATCAACGCCCCAAAACCACGATATTATTATGAGAGGCAGCCATAGTGGAAGGCTCCGGAAATTTCGACCACCTGGCGGTTCTTTAACGTCCACCCAAATCTGATCACACGGGCCTACAGAATGTTTGCCTCCTTCAAAAATGCAGCTGCTGCAGCTGGGACCTGCGGGTCAGCAGCCGAGTACCTTAACCACTAGACCACCGCGGCAGGGTGTCCATGCAGCTAAGCGGGCCATTGTATTGTCGGTCTAACAATGTGGCATAGGTGCGTGTGCATTGCTGGAGTGGCAGATCTCTGTCCTCAATTCTTCTCAAGAGCGATGCTGCGGCCACAACTACTGCACCCCAGCTCATAATGAACATGATAGTACTTACGTTACCCGTATTTTCGATTGAGTGGGGTGAAGATTGGTAAATGCTGGTTGCAGTTGCGCTGTCATTGATGTGATGTTTCGTGTTGGCATTATGATGTGTTGCCTTCGTGTTATGTGTTTCTTCCAGTACAGTGTTCTAGGGTATTGGTGGTCCGTGTTGCACTCTGTGGTTTGTGTTTCACTCTAGCGCGACTGCCGGCGTGAAATGTCTTTCGGATCGTTCCTTGCTTAATGAGAACCTGGGAGTGCTCCATTTTGTTAATGCTGGGGTGTGACTTTGTATGAATGCCATAAACAAACGAGCATTTCAGCTGCGTGCGATTTGTCGTAATACTTGCGCTCAAAGCTCGACCAATCGTGCGCGGTAAAAGTACGTTTATGGAATGCGTTACAAGATCACATTTTAGTTGTCATAGCCACCTTCATTTTCACACTCGGCTGAGTCGGTTCGAAAACATTTTGAAGTATTTTTTTTTTTCATTAGGGGCGCCCATTTTAAAGCAAACAGCAATTAAGTGCTTTTATTTTTCTAGTTCTTACTGCGCCATTTGTTAGGCTTGCCTGTTCTGTACATACTTTTTTTCTTTGCAATTTCATTGTCATCCCAGAGGTATCCAGCTGGCTGCTACTGAAGGAGACAGCTATGAGGTGTGTTTTTTTTTACCAAACCCAAAATTAAATGTTCATTCATTCATACTTTTGTGCATCTTTCAACTCTCCCTGGGCATGAAGCATCAGTCACTGCACCGTACAGAAAATAAACATTTACTGTACTTAATTATGCACTCTTCTTCCTAACCAACATGTTCATTTTAAGGGAAAGCATTTCTTTCACCAGAGTTTATTGCTTTATTGTGGTGTTCATGGACACAGCGCTGCCGACAGTACTACATTCCAGTAGCTTTCCCGAGTTCAGTATATTTTATATGTAGCTAACTATCCCCAATCTGACATTGACTGTGAAGTGATGATATCGCTTGAGATGACCAAAGACAAAGCGCAAGGAAGAAAATGCATGATCTTCCTTGCGTAATGCACTCTTCCATCTGTAAAGCCATTTTTCTTCTTCTTCTTTAAAGGCGACACATGACTAAATACATATTTCAAACCCAGCAGTTGTAGTGTGAACCCAGGGCTGTGTACGCGAGAAGAGCGTAGACCTGGTACGCTGCATACAAACTGCATCAAGGCTGCCGATTGCCTCGGAGAGGTCAAACACTGTAGACACGCTGCGGTTGTGTACACCAGTTGTTAATTAGGTGGGGCAGTTGAAGATTGTACAATGACTGTACAATCTGCAATCACTTAATATCTGCAATTTTAATTTGTCACTTAATGGTCACTTTGCTGCAGTTTGTATCAGTACACATTGCGTCCTGCTTGTTCATTTCCTACGTTGTTGTTTTTTTATCCCCTCATGTGCTCAGAGCGCTCTTAACTTTCAGTGGTACATTCCACTGCATGGACTAATCCACGAGGAAGGCAAAGCTCAGTGAAAAGAGGGGGGGGGGGGGGGGCTTGCTTGGCACTCGCGGTTTGTTTCACTTGTCATGTGCTTTGAATTGAGCACAATGCAATCAATCGCTTGATACCAGATCACGAAGTAAGACGAGACAGGAGCGGGGACTCTGTGCACTTGAAAGGGGCTCGTTCCACAGCACTGGAGCTTGCTTTACAGCATGTTGGTCAGGCGGTGCTACGTGTAGCTAAAAGGTGCGGAGGAGAGGCGCCAGTCTTCGAGTGAAGCCACGGGCGGGGGTTTACATCGTCGTTGCTATAGCAACTGCACGCGGTCACTCTTTGCCGTACTTGTGCATACGTTTGCCCACCCATTTTGTCGGCCCCTCGATTGCCAATGCCCACCGCCATCGCTGGCATCCACCAGTTTGCGCATGTGCTCACGAGGGCAGATGTTGAATGATTTCCATGCCCCTTAACAGATGGTGCGACTTGTTTTGATCAGCGCAAGGAGAAGATAACGCGAGAAGAGGAACTGAGAGGAGAGTTAGAAAATGGGTTGGACCACTGTGTCGGTGCTGCATGTTTTGTCCTGAGCAGATGCGTTGGGCGGCGGCAAAGGCTGCACTCCAGTCTCATCTTATTCCGTGTACAAAACAAATCTGGTCCTCTCACTGTAATGGCTCGCTTAATAGCACATCACATTGGTGCAGTGATTACGGGACAGTGGCAAAATTTTTGCATCAGTGCTTCTCTAAAATGCCGCTTCCAAAGGCACAGACACAAACGTCGATGTTGGGTGGGCGGGGTCGTGTTTTTCTTCCACCCGCAGGTGCACCGGTTGTTCGAGGCTGCTGTCCTAAGCATGCCCTACCATTCAGACCTCTGGTGCCACGTGAGTAAAAGCCCTTGCCAGCACGTTTTTGATTTTTTTCTCTTCAGTTATCAATGATGACATTCGTTCCTACCACTTATGTTTAAGAAACATTAATTGATGCCTAACATCTTTAACTCCTCTCATTTACGAGAATGCTCGTCATGGGATTTTGTTCCGTAATGATCACAGATGTCTGTGGACGTCATCAACAAAAATTGCTCCTACATCAATCTGGTGGCAACTATATTTGTCATAGTTCTCTGTATTGACTGTACATGGCTACACTTGTCTATGTCGTGCCATTTGTGTCCCAGCTTTCATTTTGTTGCACTCTTTCGTTGTATTGCCATGCGGTGAAGCCACCTTCGATTTAACCTTTCCTATGCAATGAGAGCTCTAAAGGAACCCCGTGGAATTGAAATAATGGTACTATTTAGGCAGAAAAGAAAATGCCTTCAAATTTAATGCATGTTAAAAAAGAAAATTCGGATAAATATGATTCACTTTCTTTTTTGTTGTTGTGGGAGTGAAAGGGCTAACTTAAATTAGAGAGGACTGCACCTTGGCATCTCTTTGTGGCGAGTATAACGTTCAGGCACTTGCGTACGCCTCTGTTTCCCGCATCTCGTGCAGTTCCTCCTCTACGAGCTGACCCAAGGTCACATAGAGCACGCGCAAAAGGTCGTTGAGTCATCTTCCAAGTACCAAGTGCCGGGTCCCCAGGAAATCCTGGACAGCTTCCTTGCCAAAGGTGTGCTCTGGTGTATGCTGGCAGGGGGGGTGTCAAGCTTGTATGTGTCTGGCAGCACTTGCTTGCATGCCTCTTTGGTTGATTGATTGATTGATTAATTAATTTATTGATTGCCTCTGTTATCCTGGCGCAACCCACTGTGGAAGATCGGCCTCTTCGGTGACGAAAAAGCTGTGCCACGTCTTTTAATTCTTTTCTTGACAAAGAACACTGTTGCTGAAGTACCGCCACTCTTAGTGTTGTAACTTTAGAGCCACACTTTAATTATATCCGTTCTTTAATAGTTAATCAGTGAGATTAATCTCAATTGGTTACTTTTGGGTCCACAATCAGTTTTCAAGATTGTAGCACCTCCTCGCAATGTTTACAATGGTTGTGCGAAGGTGACAAGCCTTGTTTAACACCAGTACCGTTGTCTTTTCCTACATGCCAATGTTTTTGGAGCAGGGTCGTGCAGTATCTCTTGAATGCGGCTTGATTGTCATCACGTTTATGAAATTTATCGCCTCAGGTAGTACATTTTCTAGTATTGCATCGTAAAATGTGGCTACATCATTTACCATTTGTGGCTCCCTGTGCTATTCACCTTACTTTTGTAGAGATTTTTATTATAAGTGGCGTTAATGGCGGAAGTTTTGAGCGAAGGTCACCACTGGCCATTTCGTCATGCACTAAATTTTAAAACAATTGCACAGATTGATGTGTCCTGGTTCTGTAGCATCATGATACCCTGGGCTGGCTAGGGCTTTTAAAAGGGTTTTGCAGCAACTGCTCTGCTGGGATCGCAGCTGACCCTCTTATGCTTAGCCATTAGAGGCTTTTTGCAAGCTACGGAAGCAAATTATGGAAATACGACACTGTTTCTTTTCCTGTGTGCATACAATTTTCGCGCATGCACACTCGTCAGCTGGTTCCGTATTGCCGTCTTTCCGTAACGTGCTCCTGTAGCTTGCTAAAAACACCTAATGGCTAACTTAGTCACACTTTTTATGGCATACATGGCATTTGTGCCTTTACAAACAAAGTTACGTTAGTATAGAGGCAAGTTAGCTCTCTACTTGGACAAGGTTGCAGGGTTTTATACTAGGACGACGTGGACTTCACCGGGACAATGCAGTCGAAATTGCTTTACTAGAGTATGCGATCATCATCCAGCTTGAATGCTTCGTAGTGTGGCCTGAACTGGTTTGACTCACGCCATCCACGAAGTGCTGGGCGCTGTTGCCGAGATAATACCTCTCTATGCTTAGACGGCATGTTGGCGTGCAAGGGTAACATCTCGGCAACAGAGCCAAAAGCTACGCTGTGCTGGAGTAAGTCAAACGCTTTGAGGACACGCTGTGCAATGTTCGTTCGAGTTAAGTTTGTTGACGACCATACACAAACAAAGTCGCGTTTTTGTATGTTGGGACAATGTGGCCTTTGATGAGACTGAAGTCCATTACAGTCCAAAGTTGTATTACTAATGTACTACTGCTACATATTTGCTTCTGCTGAGAGTTGTGAAGAGTTTACTGATGCATTTAAAGTACCATTTACCGTACAATGTTGAGCAGTTTCTTTCTTCTATTTTCCCTAGAGGGATGTGTCACCCTATTGAGGCCGTTGTCAATCGCCTTGCCGCTTTCAGAACTGACCGAAGAGGACGCACTGAAGCGGCTCGGCGTCTTCCTTTTGCCGCCGTGAAGGTTGCGGCAAAGCGGGCGTTCCAAGGCGCGGGGGTCGTCAGGGGTGTGGTTTAAGACACACCTCCCATAGGCGGCCTCTTGTAAGTACGTTTGCACCAACAGGGTGTTGTTCAACGGAATCCCCTACGTTCGTCTCATCCCTTCCCACCCTCTCTTCCAATCCTACCTCCCCCCTCCCCAACTCTTGTATGTATGCCTCCTTTGCCATCGTTGGGGCTTCCTATATGGCCTTTCTTTTTGTCGCACCACTTGGCCCTGGTGTTAGGCTTCTTTCTTCTTACTTTCGAGTTTTCTTTTTAATGCCATTTACTGGTGCTCCACAAATGCGAGTAGCCAGTGTCGCACTCAGAACCCACCTTTTTAATGCTTCATTTTGCCAAGGAATCACTAGAAGTTGAGAAGCCAGTTTGTGACCGTCTCGCACACTTATTGACTGCCTTCGTGTGCATGCAGGTCAGACTTTATATACTTAAATGTCTCTGGACGCTATCTTTGTTTTTCTTTTTGATCTTTTTCCTTTTGCAAAGTCTTTCTGTCACTCATTCACTTTTTTCCCTGTCAAAGCACTCGCGTCGGAGCTCCATGTGTGCGACTTGTTCGTCGCAGTATATTCAACGAGGAGTTTTATGACGCGGTCTTCCCGTCAATCTGCAAAGCAGGGTTGTTCTGCGAAGGCGTGGAAGAAAAGAAAAAGTGGCTCAACGAGAAAAAAAAAAAAAACAACTTGTTGGTCTATTACAAAATCATAGATAGTAAGAGGGAATTTAAAGAAAAACAGAGGTGTGCATTGTTGAAGGGCGGAAATGTTCTCATCTATGAAACGGAGCAGTGTGAAAAAAAAATGGACACCGCATGGGAAACGGAAGTGCAGAAACTGGAGTGCACAACACGTCGTCATCGCCTCTTTATTTTTTTGGTGTGGGCTTCGGCAAGCAACGTATTGGACCAGCTCCGACAATGACGAAGCCCCCTACTGCATCTTCGACAGCGTGCGTCTGTGATAAGACTTTTTCCTGACGGAGTGAACCATCTGCACCTTCACCGCTCATTCCCAAGGGGGCAGGGGGGATTCGTGCGCAAATTCCCGTGTGATTGCATGGCAAGGAGTGGTGCGGGTAGCTTTTTTTTTTTTTTTTTTTTTTTTTTTTTTTTTTAGCAAGTCTCCTAGTTGAGATGATTAATTGTTAGGCAATAATAATTTATTTGCAACAGAGTCTGTAAATAAAACAGTGTAGTAGTCCTTGCTTAAACTGTACCTGCAAAGGTTTTCTGTATTATTCAGTTTTTTTTTTTTTTTTTTTCAACTAGTCTTTCGAGTTAAATTGCCATTTTGTTGCCATTCTTGGAAGGTGTTTCTCTTCTAGGTTCTCTATAACTTAAGTAATGTCTTTTTGTTTGCTTACGCTTTCTGATAACCTGGAATTTTTTGTCAAATTGAATTATTGCCCGTTAGCAGTAAGTGCCATGCAAACACACTTGTGTAAAGTGTCAAATGCCATTTACTACTTTGGACACCTTGGTAGTTGTTGTTTTTTTTTACTTTCTGTAAAAAAAAATAGGGAAAGAAGTTTCCAAGCCCGTCTCGTGACACTTGTACATATCTTTCTGGGTCCACTGTCCCGTGTATATATTAAAAAAATGTTTTTCTGAATTTTCTGGTGGATGTTTTTATTGGCACATCACAGAATAGCTGTGCACCTCGTTGCTACCGATTTCTGTGACGTGCCACATCTAACTCGCGCAAACAAGACAGTGCTAGATTTGGCAGGCGAGCATCAAGCTAAAGAAAGACAGTTTGCGGCCGTAGTGTGCCGTCTTATTCAATTATTCTCTTGTTTTACTGAAGTTACACACAAAATTTGTGGCAGATTTTAATCACTCGAAATGTGCCTAGTCATTCATGCCTACACTGTACAAGACGTGCACGGTGCGGCGGTAGTCCTGCACTATACCGCATATTGCGAGCATAGATGTGCACACGGAGGGCAAAGTCTGCCCCAAGGCTTTGAGATAATAGAGAGAGGGGGTGTTGTTATTTGAAGTGGGGTGTGAAGTCTGCAGCCTGCCTTGACATAATTGGGAGAGGGGGCACTGAAATTTACCTTTGACCCCCACCCCTCCCTGAAGGGGAATCCAGCACACGCCTACCGATTGTGAGACTGGGAGAAAACTTTGCCAAGTGTAGATGTACAGCTAGAAAAAGAAACAAGCATTTGTCTGTGGGAAACAAAACTTGTTACCTCCTAGATAAAGGAGCAACTGAAGTCTATTACTACCTAAGATATATTAAGATTGACTTAAAGAACTGCAGTGCATATGCCTTTCGTCTGTGAAGGACCTGCTAAACCGTAACTACTTCTCTCGTCTAATGTAAATACCACACATTTTAAATGCTACAGAGTTTGCCATTAGTGTTCAAAACATCGCGTTTTAACAGGCAACGTTTGCATCCATGGAGAAATTTTTTCAGGCACCCAAGTTCTTGAGCTAAAGCTATAGTCGGATGCACCTAGAATGCCATGGTGTTGGCTCTTCGAAGGCGAATGCATACAAGCCTGCACACATCGGGAACACAATCTAGATGGATGTCACAAGCCGGACGACCGGTGACCAATCTAGATGGACGTCACAAGCCAGACGACCGGTGACCCTGTGTTTGGAGAACGGGGCAGAGTGCTTGGCGTGGGACTATTGTTTTGGTCGCCGAGGCTGCCGCGCTTCATTCATCAGGTCAGGGCTTGTATACGTATGGGCAAGTAAACAATCTGACTGAAACACTCAAAAAGGGCTTGATGTTGAGATGGTGAAGGCTATTTAATGGAGCATTTATGCAATGACTTTCTGGAGGGACTCTGATGACTGTGGGCCGAGCTAGCATTCTTGGTTTAAGTTTTAACCTACTCTGTCACTTCTGGGACATGTCAGGCGAGCAGCGGAAGCGTTTAGACTCTGGATATAAGAGTGGGGTTCAAATTACTGGCCTCATTAGTTGTCATTCTGCACAATCGTCCAATCCCGCCATGTTTTATTCGGCCACTGGTCAAGCTGGGGCCTCTCCGATAGGTTTAAAATGCTGCCATTACAATATTTGACAGGAAGGTGGGATATGATGGTGTCCACTAGGATAGCAGGTACCCTTTATGTATGTGCCGAAACGACGGCTCATGGGATATCAATATTATGTTGTAAATTCTGTGAGCAAAGGCAATAAAAATATAAGGACTCCAACCACAAGAGAGAAATGTATTGACGTTTTGGCACTCTGAACGGAAGCTTTGTTCACACATCTCTTGTGGACGTTTCCCCCTTGTGGGCTGCGTCCTGGTCTTTTTATTCAGTGAATCTTGCCGACAAGTCGGGTGTTTGTCGAAGGCTTCATTTCACACGCTCGGAGTGAGACACTGCACAGAGCGTGTGCCAAGCCATAATACCCCGGTGGCGCCACCATTCTGTATACAGTGGGTCAGTATTGGTGAAAACTAACGTCGTCGTTTTGCATGAATATTGTGATTAACATAAAACGAGCCCTTAGATTTCCACTTATTTCCTACATTTATTGAAGTGCGTAGATGCTCCTCCTCTCCCACCGCTCCGTGGAGAGCGGCGGAAGAGGGGGAGCATGCTATTTAAACGCGTCATTAAGCTAACCGCAGAGTTTTTTTTTTTTTTTGTAAGAGTGACCAACTTGCTGTTCGTAGTGCCTCGATCTTGAAGAAAGGAAAAGGGCACCTAGCTTCTGTCTGCCTAATTGGCGACACGGCGCAGTGCCTTGTAGGGGATGGGAGGAGGGGGATCAAAATTAGGAAACCCTAAAGCTACACCTGAAGGAGTAGAACACGATAGCGATGTCCTGGTAGTGCCTACTTCGAACAGTTAGTGCATGAAGCCTTTTCGAACTTGCAATGTACCTACCACGTACAGCCTTAATTAAGGGAATTGGTGCAGTAGCGTGTGTGCTTTTCGTACTGGGTGACCGGAGAGAAACGACGAAGCCATTATGATAATCACATGTTTTGACACCCTTTGGAAATGGGTGCTTGTTGCACGGGTTATCAATGCAATATTTCATGTTGCATTGTGAAGCATGTATACAGGACGCGTGTGTTTGTAAAGCATGAGAGCTACTTTCACTGCATTTCCAAGCAGAGGAAGTTTTTTTCATTGTATTTTCAAGCAGAAGCGTGGCCGAGTGCTAGAACATTCGTAGGCTTGTGGTAGAACATCCGCTTGCCACGCAAACGACCCGGATTGGATCCCCACTTTGACCCAAATGACTTTCGTTTGACTTTCGTTTGGTCCCCTATTTGCATCGTTATCAATTTTTTAGTCACGCATAAGATAATTTTTCACTCACAACCAACAACACCGATGCCGTAATTTCTGCGAAACGAGCTCTTTAAAGAAAATAGAAAGATGAACTTGAGAGCACTAGAGATGGGTCGACGGAGTCCGAGGACGGGGCACAGCTCGGCGAGAACTACACGGTGTCAGAAGATCGTGGATGGCGGGCCGATCAGTGAGAGCTACACTGACGTTGGAGATCGCGGGCCATACAACCGTTCAGCAAGGAATCTATCTGGCAAGCTGCAGAGGCGTTCCTCGCCTATGGTTAGCAACGGCTGTGCTACCCGGTACATGGCACGCGAAGCTTCAGGACATGACTCTGAAGCAAATAAAAACACTGTTCGGAGCTAGCGAGCTACAGTGCGCACGACGGCCACCAGATAACTCGATGTTGGTACAGCAACCACTTTCGTCACTGCGGTGAAGTTTTCTAGGCGCGCCCATATGCGCAATAATGCATACGCGGTATTCCGATACACGCAAAGCATTTTACCGAATAAAAAAATGCTCGCACCTCCCCGAAGGGGAGCGTGAGGAAATACGGATGCATTTCTTGCCCCCAGCGAGAGTACTGTTGCCGTCAGACATTCGCCTTCACCGACTTCTGGCATCGCCTTGAGAGGCGCCCAGCTAGCGAACGGTCGAGAGTGAGGAAATCTGGGGCTGGAGAGCGGGGCGCCAGCGTTCCCGTCTCGGCGTTGGCGTTTCACAGTGACGAGTCGAGCACACATTTCCTGCTGTTCTTGAGAAACGCCCAGCCAGCGAACGGTTGAGAGTGAGGCGCAGGAAGGAGAGAGAATAAGCGGCGAAAAACTGCACCTATCCTCTCCTGCACTATTGCACCGCATGCTCCCGTAAGCGCGCGCGCCTGCAACTGTTGCTATGGGAGAGGGTGAGTACAGAGAAAGCGCCTGCTGGCGTGCGGACAACGCCGGATTGCTGACATAGCCCGACTAAGAAATGCATTCGCATTTAAACCTTCTCTCGGACAACTTCGGCAAGTCACCGAAACATGGTACACAAATACGCTACCGTACGTATGACGGTATTGGTCCCTGTTCCCCGGTCGTCGACATTGCAGAATTGCTGTGGGCAAGATGTACGCGGTACAGAACATGTAAAAGAACTTGTTGTTGGGCTAGTTGGTACATTTCAAAAAATTAATTCGAGCGCGAACACACACACACACACACACACACACACACACACACACACACACACACACACACACACACACACACACATCTCTTCTAGCAGATGTCGAGAATAAGTGCACGTGATTTATTGAGTGGAGGTGGCATCTAGTGGGAGACGCACAGCTTCCGAGGCTGATGAGCCCTTTGGGAGGCCTAGAAGGATTCGTAAGCAATCGTTTCGTACGGTATCCAAAGTTCTCTTGTTTGATAGTGATAATCGGTGAAGCGTGTTTTCTCCCTACACATCCAGAGGGGCATGGCTTGTATGACGTGTACGTTCGAGGAATGTGAGCAACTGCTGTGCACCGCTTGTTGAGAAATGTCGAAGCGGGCGCATGAAAGTTTGCCTACGTGATGACTGCTATGACGCGCTTGATCCGTATCTTTTTCAGTTCACATGCGATAATAATGACACTAAATACATTGTTTCTTATGACCTACGATACACATATTGAATCAACCGGATTGTTTTGCCGCATGAAGCAAAATTATTTGGCACCCTGGGATCGAATGCGTGTGCCGAAGTTTGAATGAATTTTAATTTCATAGTAGCATTTTAATGAAGTTCTACAAGATGGTCACTCGGGATTCTGCAGATCTATATATGTTTTCACTACATTCTAACTTTACAATATTTGATCAGCAAATACAGATATCATTGGCATGTCCTGATATGGACAGCCAGTCAACGTTCAAAACTTAATGTCTGGTCGGACACACAGTTCGGACGTCGAAAAAACAGCCACACAGGACGTGAATTTTCACAGTGCGCCCATTGGCTATCCGCGTTAGATATCCATACGGCTAGACATTTGTATTTATAATGGACAGCCAGTGGATATCCGTGGTTACTTGGACAATAGCGCAAGGCTCCTTCAATTTACGCTTTCTCAAGCAGAACCATTGGGTGGCATGTACATTCCCATCGTGTTCCCGTAAGAATTTGAGGAGTTGTGATGCTTCAGCTATTCTCACGTGAAGTTTCTTCACCTGAGGAAACCAGGAAAGATTTATATGAATGGTACAAAAAGTTTCTGTGCGCAATTTTTGAGAAATGCTACCCCACAACTTTTGTTTGGGCTGTACAATCTTAATCCCTGGTGACGAGATC